AAACATCTTCTTAATTGAAAACTGAACATATTGGATCTAGAGGTGATTGAAAAAACACTCTCTCTATAGGCTTGATCCTATTGACCTTGGTGGGATCTAGACTGTGATTAGAATTATTTAGAGACATTCACTTTCCTATGTGAATCATTGCATTTATAAACACAGCTATATAAGTAACAGTTTGTAAACTGAAAGCACTGGTAATCCTCTAGTTTAAATAATCTTTCTGATACCTTTTTCCAAACAATAGAAAGACTTTGCCATAAAATTGCCCATTAAACCATTTTGTAAGTAATTGGTGTTTTGGAGAATTTTGAGTAAAACCAATGCAGATAATTTTAAAGCCTCTCCATTAGCCAGGACAGTCTTTTCTTCATTTTCTTCAGTACTGTTATCCCCCTGGGAACAGGGACTTTAATAAGAAGTAACCCCTAAAAGAATCTAGTAATTGAGAGTAAGTTTCTGTAATGTCAAATACATCTGTATGCATAACATGTTTTCAAAACAGTCTGAATGCAACAATTACAAAATAATACCTGGGTGTATCAACAATGAAAATCCAAAACAAACAAACAAACAAAACCCTAAACCACTCACCCCACAAATCTGATTTTTTCCATGTCTAAACAAATCAGAATTAGAAACTTTTGAAGCATCTACAATTTGCTATCAACAGTGCAATCAACATCAACATCTATCAACAATGAAAACAACAGCACTTTCAAATAAGTAAAGCGTGATATTTTTTGGTATTCAGTAAACTCTAGTTATTCTCCTAACATTTATTTTTATACAGCCATATAAGCATTAGTCTTAGAAAATAATCTAGACCTCAACTGGACTGATAGTGGTGCCTCTGCGATTACACTTTCGGAGATTCAAGAGGATAACTATGTGGATTTTTGTGGTTAGAAATGCAGTCCATTTCAACCCACTGATGCCCCTTGCTACAAGATAAAAATAAACAAAGAGAGAAGTTTGACATCAGAAATGATGCATTACGTGTGCTGTGCTTGGTAGTTTGCTGCTTTGTGAGAACACAGTTTGTCCAAACCCTTTTTTAAAGTTAAAAGCGTAAGACATAAAAATTATCAGTAACTGGGCATTCTAAAAACATGCTAAATAAACCAGGAATGCTAACAGGCAACATCTAGAAGCCAGCCACATAAATAATGGCACTCATACCCCAGTGGACACACTCACTTCACTCGATGCATAACTGTTTCTGAGCTTACTGTCCTACCCAAAAGCACAAAGCAAGCAAGGCAAAGCTACTGTGAAAAAAATAACAAAATTTTGTTTAGACCCAGCTATGTTTTAACATAGTATAAATTAACATTCCTTTCATCAAAGTAGAATAATTTTTAAATTCTAGAAACATTTTTCATAGTACAGTGAATACTGGAAGTGTTTGTCTGCTTCTGCTTGTAAACTGGTTGACAACTAAGAGCAAAATCAGTATAATTTATATACTTCAGCTGCCAGACAAACCACTCTGTAAAATTAATTGTCAGAATTTTATTTATTTATTTTAGCTCCCTAACCTCTCTCTGGTGGGCAGAAAGAATTAAACTTGTGTAGCAGGTTAATCTTGCTGTTACATGGAGCTTTCCTTGTCAGCCTTATGCAAATTTAGATAAATAATGAACTACTGACAGCTTGCATTCTCCATGCCTCTGTTCTCTACCATCGGCTTTAGGGAATCTACCAGCATCACATCTGTACACATCCAATCTGTATACATACACGTTTGCCATATAGTCCTTCTGCTGGAGGAATAGGGAAACTACTCCACAATGTCTGCTTCCCCATGAGAATATCCTCTAGCCTACAAAAATCTGCCTCTAGGTTAAGAAACAACGGCGCAGTCCTGTGCCAACTGAAGCAGGATTACAAATCCAACACAGAAAAATAAAATCCCAGAACTTCTGTTTTTACTGCCGATGACTGTTGTCAGTTTTACTGCCTGTAATGTTGAGGAAAGATCTATAGCTCAATCCTAAATTACACTAGATGGCTTAAACAACATTTTCAAGGGTCAAACACAAGCTTCCAGCTACAAGAGTCATTAAAAAAAAAAAAAGGAAACCCCTGTATTTTTGCAAATTTAGATGTAGTTTTACAATACTTTACCTGTAAAATGGAATTACCCATGCATCTACAAGACCAGACTATTATGTAGCTTCCTCTAGTGGCCAGTCCCTAAACCTTGCTTCTGCTGCCATTTACTGCAGTTCTTTAAACACAAATGCTGACGTTCTGTGTTCAAGCACTGTAACCCTGGGTAGGCATTAGAGTTTATACTTTAGCTCTCCAGTACAAAAGCCAAGGAAATTAAGGTAAAGTATATAACAAACCATTTGCTATTTATATTAAAAGGACAAGTGGTAAAGCCAGCAAAAAATTGAGTTATTATTTAGTTCTCTAGTTTGCTCCCTGGTGAATTCTAGTATATTTAGTTACATCATCAAGCACGACTTTCTCATCCCAAGACTGAGGAAGCAAGACAGATGTTCAGCTTTCATTGCCTTTAGGTATTTACTACAAATCATCCAAATTTCATTTTAACCTTGGAGTTACTGTGCATATACACGTGCTGGTGTGTGTTTTAATGAGGCTTATTGCTGTAGTATGTAAACCTAACACACACCACTAGGTTTGCTTCTGCAATACTTTTTGAGGGAAAGAGCAATTAAAAAGGCACAGCAAAGCATTCACCAAATTAGAAGGCCACTGAAATCAGAAGATAATTTGACATACCCCTAAAATATTACAAGAAAATCAAGGCTGCTCTGTGATACGGGATTGGAAGTTACAAGTGTGAAATTTTATACTATCGGGAAAATTTCCTTAGAGGTTAAAGCCATTTAAGGAAGGAAAGAGAAAACCTAAATGTAGAATATGCCAACAGCCCATTACAAAACATATTATACTGAACAATCCAACTCTTAAAAAGTGCATTATGTAACCTAACAGCCATTTCTGATTTCTGACTTAAAATGAAAATAAATTAATTTAGATTTAGGAATCCACTCGTTGATCCAACCAAAAATAATCATAAGGATTAAGTTACTGCAATTGTATAGCTAGTGGAAAAATACATATCACTCGTGCAATTTGAAAAAGCTTTAAAAATCTCTGAACAAATAATTGTGATTATAAGGTTGTTCGGGGAAACAGCAGTGGTAACTTTTATGTCTAAATGAATACCTTCAATTGCCTGAAATTCTTTACATCTTCTTACACTAAAAACTATAACTTCCTGCATCTTTTATTGCCTTTGCACTTGCCCTCACTCTGGAATGAGAGAAGTCTCATCCCCACCCCCCATCCATCATTACCATTATTATTTAAATCCTGTGAAATTCCATTCAGCTTTGACAAACAAATTAATTCCCCCAAACTGACACTTAGCCATTTATACACTGCTAGCAAATTTAGGCAGTGCAACAATGACTGATAAAACATATAACAAAGCACCAGCTTTTTAATTGAAGGTCAGGGACAAATTATTTTCAGAACACTACTGTACATTCCCCTGGAAATGCCATTCCCCTGTGTAGCCCTACAAGGCTCACAAAACCAGCTCCCTTAGACGGGAGCTCCATCCCTCCATTGCAGAAGCTCATGTGAACCTTACACACAATTCAAAGAAGAGAAGGATGTGCCTGGAGTAATTAACGATTACATTTCTTCCTCTCTTCAGATATTAGTTCCCATGTTGCCAGTTAATGCAGTTGTGTCCTGCCATTCAGGCTGTGATTTGTTCCCTTGTGCCTAGTATTTATGCACGTGCTCGTGGCAACTGCTTCAAAAGAGGCTCCTCAACACCTTCAGTCCAATGCTTACTGTAAGGATACCTCGGCACTTTCAATACCTGGCACTATGAATCCTCTGCTGTTGGTATCTGCCTAAATTTACTCATTTCCACAGCTGGAATGTGTCTGTTATTTCTCCTCAGGAGAGCACACAGCAAAGGATTTACAGTACTGTAACCTCAGGTCTCGAGTTTGCTTATTCCCTTTCATACCGTTACATCCTTGGGGAAAGATAATGCAGCTGATGAAAAATGTCACAGCCCCTCTAAAGAAAGAATAGCTGTCCAATTGGAGGGTGTGCTGCCAATTGTTTATGTTCCTGGCTTTCTCTCAGCACATTTCTAAAGCTGGACTTTAAGGAGGAGGAAAAATAAGGAAAGCAAAACATTTAGTCATGTATTTTCCTCAAAAAAGGTCTGTGCCAGTTTCTCATCACCGTACTGGCATTTTGGTATTAGAGCAACTGAATATGCAGTGGTGTTTGGGTAGCAACCTAAGAGCCTAATAAATAAAACATGAAAGTAGAGAAAATTCAATAAAATTTCATGCATGCTTTTCATTTTTCATGTTAAGGATCAGAATATTAAGTACATTTCACTGGTCAGTTCTGTATTAAATATTACAGTCACTCATTATTCCTTGTATTCTATTTGAATTAGAAACTTCAACCAAACCCCACAATTTCAGAAAGTACAAACATCAAGTAAACAGTGTAAAGACATACTTAAATATAAATACAAATTAAGTGTCTGTAATGAAATGCTTATGTTTTAAATAGAAAAAACAATGGAAATGGAGTGGTATCTTATTGTGTCAGTATGGGATTGAAGGTAAATAGGAACCAGTGAATACTTGCCACACACGTTAAGATTCAGTTACAGAATTATTATGGCACCAGAAAAAATGGTCCTGGCGTTAATCATAATTATCAGAATTATTTCAATTTTAGGATTGTTTGTTAACAGCTCAGTTGTTGGCAGCGTAAATACCAATTTAAAAAAAATCACCCTATATAGTATGAGAACACAAAAAGAAATGGTCAGTGTACCTGTATTTTATTGCTTACAGATTAAAAAAAAAAAAAGCAGCTATTCATTGGCTTATCTCTGCACACCAGCTTTTAAGCTAAAAATGTGAAGACATTTTCCATGCAAAAGTTCACTTCAAACAATATGGACTTACGCATTTCTTCAACAACGTCTGGATCACATTCTCTGTATTTGTCTATTTCTGCCTTTAGCTGCTCTTTTTTCTTCCGAAGGGCTGCAAGTTCCTCTGTCAGCGCTGCACGTTCTGCCTGAGGATTCAAAGCACGTTGGGAGATTAGAAAAAAAAATAAAAAATAAAAATCAAATTATTGCAGAGAACATTTTTCAAAAATAAAAAGATATAAATTTGAAAGCTGTTTTCACTACTGCTTTCCATCAACGAACCAACTGAGCATTTTATGCACACACAACTCTTAGTGACACTCAACTTTCTTCCTTCCTGTTTGTATTCAGTATCAATAAGGTTAAAATGGATAAGCAAAAGAACAAATTCCTACAATCTTTGAACTCAGAATGGTTTAACAAACTCAGGTTAAAGAACATTTAAGATCACTGGTCTTGTCATTAAAGACTGCACTTCCACGTATCTGGATACTATGTATGAATGCCATGGTAATGTATTTTTCTTCGTGTTTGTTCCACAGTGTTCAACTGTAGCAGTCTCAAAAATAAATTCAAATATTTATGACACGGTAGTCTTTCCTGGGAGAGCATACCCTATCTACCTCAAATGTTCTACTGATTAATAATATCTGCAGACACCTGACTCAGCATGAGCACTCCCGTAGCCAACTCAGCACATATTTCAAATTCAGCCTGTACTTACAGCCAACCTCTGGACCTGGCTGAAGACTGGGATATTCAAAGATCTCATGCCAGTGCACCAGGCAGCCTCAGACAGACAGGTAACAAGTTTGTAAACTGTCAGGTTTTTATCCAGTGACAATCTCCACAGCAGCCTGGCAGTCTGAAGCATTTTTGAATTTCCACATTTGCAAAGCTTCTGCCTGGATTCAGCCTATTCTGAAAACGCAAAACGGAAATCAAAGGCTTCCAGACACTGGGGTATGGAGGCCAGCTGCTCAGACATACATCGTGATCTAGATTTCTCAGGACTTTTTCCGAATGTTTAATCTGGAACTGAGGTGTTGGAAGCATCAGGCAAAACAGGATTTCCAGGACCAGTCGCTTCCTGTGACAAGGTCAGGCCGCATGGTGGAGAAGCCCAAGCCTCTAAGTCCGTCTGGAAACCTGACAAGCACAGCTGTATGAGAAACCTGCCTGTGTTTCACTGATTATGGTCAAGCTCAGAGTGCTTCTACAAAACGTTCTGGATTCTAAGATATGTCTCTTTCTTGCAAAATTCCATCCTATATGAAAACTTCTGTCCATCCCTGTTTATGCGTTTACATATTGGAGGTTTAAACTAGTCTACATTGAGCATCTCAAAACGAATCAGCAGCTAGAATACCATATGATTTTCTTCTAACATACTACTTCATATGCATGTTAGATGTGAAGCCTACATATTATTTTACAATGTATTTTAAACAGCTTCAGCATGCAAAGAGCACCAAGCTTAACTGACTTCTCAGAATAATAAATTAGAAATCCAGATTACAAGTAAAATGTAAAAAAAAAAAAAAAAAGATCCCCAACTCCTAAATTCACAGTTACTAGATTTGGCAGTTCAGCAACCATTGGCAACTTTGGCACATAACTGTGGGTAGGTCAAGTTTAACAGTATCTTTAAATCTGAAAAAAAATGGAAAACTACCAGACTTCAAGCAGTCTCATTTTCTCAGCCTGGAGCACCAGTTGTCAATATTTTCCTCAGTAGTACATGACCAAATAAGGAAGAATTTAACATTTAGGAACATCCGATTTTTTTTCTCCCTTCCTCATCTTCAGTACTTCAAAATCTTAATGGATTTCCAACAACTCATACTATTTGCAAACTGGGAATACTTGTATCCTGTTCCCTAATAGGATCGCCTCCACCCCCAAAGCAACTTACAGTATCTTCACGTCCAATTTTTGATTTCTCAATGCTTTTCTGTAGAGCCTCTTTTTTCTGACTGCTTTCAGCAAGCTGATAAAAGAAACAAAGAATAAAATCAACCTATTTCAGTGACATATATTAAGCATACTTATGAAAGTGTGTATATAGAGAAAATATTAAAACAAATAGAACATACACTTCAAGTACATACATTTATATATATATATATATTTATAATACATGTAATAAAAATAAACTCAAAATAAATACAAAACCACACAAATATAAGTCTGGGGCTCTGATCCACAGAAAACAATTACAGGAAGCAAGTTTTTTACTCCCACACCACGTAATCTTGTTACGTGCTGCATGTTCAGCATGGGACCAAAATCCTGTTTCATGCTGTAGTCTGGGATCTCTATGCAAAGGCCTCCATGACATGGAGGCTTTGGACTAGATAATTTCTTTTCATCCATTTCCAGCCCTTTAATCTCTCCCATAGCCACTCCCTTATTCCCTAGACAGGGTGACAATAGCTGTAGCAAATCCACCTGCTCAGCTGCTGATACCAGCCTTCCCCAACTTTGCTATGCCATTGGCACTGCCCCAATCCTTTTTGCATACTGGTGAATAGAAGTCTCCATAGCTCTAAGGCATGTAAAACCATGGCCCCTTTTCCTATGGCTAGATTTCTGAGTTGCCCTCCTTCCCAAGTGAGGCCGGGGCACCTTTCAGAGAAGACCCCATCTCCAATGCTGGTACAAAGCTCCCTGCATGGTCCTGTCACTCCAGGACACATCAGTTATCGAGAGATCTCTCTCAAATTAACCTGCCGCCCATCCTGCGCCACGTCCAACCAGTTTAGTTGGACGTTTTCCAGGGACACTTTGGAAGCTGAGCCGGATGCGTGACTCACCCGCTGCTCCTCGGGGACGCAGTACTCAGCATTAGCCAGAGCTTCTTGAAATACCACACAAGATGAAGAAGAATGCAAAAAAGTTCTAACAAATATGTAGTTTGGAAAGCAATTCCTTAATTTGAAACCCCCTCTCACACACACAAAAAGGAAACACTGGGATTCTTTGTAAGAACTAACTCTTCAGCTTAACTTTGAGATGTTCTGCGTATCAGTCAGGAAGAAAACTGGTATACCAGGTTAATTGCAAGGAAGATGGAGGTGGCTCTGAGATCCCATGTTTCATTCTTAAAAGAAAAAAATAGAAATAGAAATAATTCCAATGGCAATGCCTTCCTCCCAAACTCTCACAAGGCCTCCACTTCTACGTTCCCTTTCTCACTGAGGATCGCGCTTAGTGGAAGGGCATTCCCAAACATTTCCTGCAATCCCTTGCCTTAAGATTTAATCATATTTATATTCTCATGCAACTGGAATGCCAAGACCATGTTAGTCTTTACATGAAGAAGCGTTTCTGCAGCATGCTCCTCTCTTGGTGGACTACATGTTATCACATTGCTTACACGAATTCAACTTGTTCGTACAACGCAAACAGAGCTGCTTTGGAGCTATAGCCACGATTCAATTTCTATTTAAACTTATGTCCAGTATGCATTTTCAGAAATACGTATTATATATAAATGCATGAAAAGTATGAGGCAGACCTTATTGTCAAATCTTAGGTATCAGACATAAAGGTAAAAAGAAACCCCATACTGGTGGGCTCTGTGGATTAGGCCCCAGACCAAATGCAGTTCATTTGGTTTGGGGAAGGGTCTGTGCATTTCTTCTGTACCTCAATTTTTCAAAACTACTTCCTCTTTCTGGATACGTATCTGTTCATGCATGTGTTATAAGATGAATGGCAATGCATATATGATTTGGGGAAAAATACATCCAGCTGTTTATTCATTGCACCACTGAAAGTAACCACCTAGGCGGTGTGGTTTTCAGTCTGTGGCTTGAAGTACACCAACATCTTAATTTTGGTGGGGAGCTAAACAGTACTCTTTCTGGGGTTTCCACAAAATTCATATAAAATTAAATGTGTTAGTGCCCACATCAAGTCTTACCAGGCAGAAGTACACAGTTCAGTACAGGACAAGCACTTAGGTGTAGTTTGCAGTTTATGAAGCCCAAGGAAGAAAAATACCAAAACACACATCATTCAGCATCTCTGAACAAAGAATTTGTCTGGAACTAAACTCACAGAGGAAGCAGAAATGCCAAAGAGCTTATCTAGGTCTATATAAGTGCATGTGCAAAGAAAAAGACAGTGCTCTCTGGAACATGAAAGCCATAAAGCTAATTCCTCTGATTTCATATTCATAAGGTTCTTTAAAAACAAATCTGCATTCTCTAAGATGGAAGCACAGGAAAACTTTTCAGAGAGATGCAATAAAATAATACAATCTGATTACCGGCTTGAAAGCATGTTCCTCAGTATGGCATCTCATTATTTTCTTGGTCCTCCATATTCCAGAACATTTAATTATGAGACAGTAATGATAAGCACTGAGATGTACAGAAATTTCTTTGCCAGGACTAGATTCTGACCTACATAACGTGCAAGGTTACCGTGCTGCAAGACTGGAAGACCTTCCTCAGCCTAAAAGCAATGATAATTTTTATACAATTTTATTGAAGATTTTTGCTTTATTCTCTCATGGATATATATATAAATATATCACTATATATATATATATATCACTATATATATAAATCACTATCAATAATTCTAGAAGTTCTCTTTTTACAAAATAAAATGAACCCCCTGGTCTCTATGGATTATTTAGAAGTCATAGTGGGTGTTCCTATGACAATAAAAGATAAGGGAAAGAACTGCAGAATGAGAAGAGAGATTGAAAAAAACCAAACATAGGATGAGAATGCAAAGGGCGAAGAACAGATGGCCAGGGTCTGTGTGAGGAATCTGTGAGGATGGAAGAAACAGGAAGGCTTGGATAAAAAGGCAAGAACACAGCTGAAAATAACTGCACATGAAAGGAAAAAAGATAGTTAAGGATAAAGGAGTCAGATGGAGGAAGGATGAAGACAGATGATACAATACTTAACTGACAGGTAAGGGCAAATGGTATATGACAGGTTACAGGGCATTAAATGGAAAGAAAAAAAAAGACAGAATTTGCAAATGCTGTGTATGTATGTTAGCAGAGGATCACATCTGGCCAAATAAAGCAACTCACCTTCCCACTCACCAGCTGTAGAAAGGTCTGATTGTAAAGGAGCACAGTAGCAGATGGAAGATTTCAATCCTTGGAGTAGTCATGAGACGTTTTTCAAGTGAACTGACAAATAATTTCTCAAGGAACATTAACCACCCTGAGAGAAGTCTTACTCCTGCCAATAGCTGTGGGATTGATCTGGAGGAAAAGCTACTCATTACCTCCTCTCTACATGTGTCAGGTCTGACACAAGAACAACCTTCTGCCACAAGTGTAACTCATCAGATGTGGAAATAAGTGCAGAAAGATTTTCTGCTATACTGTAAAGTGTCATGTCTCCAGCCTGTCTGTTCATGAAGACCTCCTCAGAACCAGCACACGATTAAGCAAGGTACAAGAAAGCAGGAAAAACTGTCAGCTCACAGAAAGCTGTTTAAACAAGTGTGTGGGGAGAACAAGACTAAATAATGAAAGTAAAAAAAGTCAGGGGGAAAAAAATCTCCACAAGAGTATTTTCAGTGTTTGCAAAACATGGTGGGAACCTGCAAGAAGGCAGATAAATGAGGTAATTAACATTTATAATAGAGGAGAGTTGGGAAGCCATTCCTTTAATTTTACAGACCTCTGTGGTCAATTGACTGACCACTGGCCTAGCCCTGACATTAATTCAATCCCAAGTCCCCCAGAAGGATGCTCGTTCCTGCTTTGCAAGGGACTCAGAGCATTTAGCTATACATTTGTGCAGCAGTTTGCACATGTTAAGTGCTACATGCTGATGATAACCATCACCCCCATCACAGGCCTGGGGGTCTGGTTTGTGTCAAGGGATACAGATTAGATGTGCACAGGCAATTTATAATACATTCTGCACGCACCATTGCTAGGGTTGCACTGTGGCAAGTCAGCGATGTACATTTGGAAGAGGAACGTTTAACCCTGACACACAACAGCAGCAGGTTTCAATCCTCTCTCTCCTCCAAATTTGCCTGATAGGGCTCTAGCTCCGCACTATTGGTATTTTATTCTCCAGTAAATGTTTTTGTTGGTTGTATTCCTTCTGGTTTCTCATTTCTCAACCACTGCAACCACCAGTGTCCCACCAAGCATGTAGCCTGTCTTCCTAGCGTTTTAAAGTATCTACAAACCTGGTGTCAGCCATGCAGACGCAGGCCCTTGTATGTACACTGGATGTGGATCAAACCAAGGTCTCGCACGCTAACCACCGAGAGTGTTCACAGATGTTATCCCACTGTCATTATGGTCTTAGGGAGAAATATCAGACGCTTAGTTTTCTCCTGGCCAAAATACTCAACCCAAAATGGTATTTAAAAAACTACTGCTATTGTGTGCACCACTCAACTGTGGCACTACAGAAGAATTCAAGACATCCATTTTTTAATTGTTCATAACTTTGCTAAACTATTTACTTGAGTTTTGAAGTTCTCTATGCTTTGTTTCAGGCCAGAGGCAAGCACTCTTTGCTTTTAGCTTAAAGAAATGTGGTCCGAGAGTTTCGGGGTGACATTTGCAGCAGAGCAGTATATTTCTGTCCTATGTTAAATCTAATTCACCACTGAAAAAGTTAAGTGGAATTGACAGAAGGCATGGAGAGAAAGTACTTCAAAGCATTCCTCTAGATTTTAAAGAAAGATTAAAAAAAAAAAAAGACTGATAGCATAGAGAGAGTAAAAATGCAAAGATTAACAGCCAAAGTACAATCTGAAAATATTGAAAACAGACGCCTTGTGTTAAAAGAAAGGCACAGCACTCCACTAAAAGCAACCGCTCAGCAGTCTCTGTTGACTAAAACAACAAAACTTAAAAAACAGAAAGGCACATTGACGTGCAGAATTGTTTTCTGAAGTACTGCACAAAATAAACATACAACTACTTTTTACATCAATTCTTGCCAGGGCCTCCAAACGCACAGAAGTAAACGTCAGGCTTGC